GGGGGGGGGCTTCATTAGTTGTTTGTAGAATATAAGGTTTTTCTGTTTCTTACTTATTTGTTGGGGCTGGCAATGGAGAGGTGATATTGTTCCATCCCTAAGGTTTGGAAGAATAATTTGTAGTGAGGAGTTGGGATGATAGTATTTTTTTGAGGGGAATTATTTTATTTGACATTGTATACTTGGTTTAATGCTATGGCTACTAGGCATATAGATATGCTGCCTAATTTCAGGTTGTTACTTTCTGATTTAAATTGATAATACATTCATGTGTATTATGTATTGATTAATAAAATATTTGATTACCTTACAAAAAAATTAAACTAGATGAGTGCATGTGAACAGTGGAGATTTTCTCAGGTTCTACTAGTTTTAAATTTTTGCGACTCAGATTCCAATGGAAAATGGGAGTTGATCCATTTTTTAATGTTTGAAAGAAACATAGTAACAATTAAGTATATCGCTCATAATCTCCCAAGCTGAATTTATGCACAATTCCTTTAAACTTTACAGCTGATGATGAGGGTGGTTTACTGGTCATCATTGTGAAATTCGCTCTTTCCAAATATCTTCATTTGTACCAGATTTTTTGTTATTGTGTTACATTGTTACTTTTTATAAATGATGAGGACTATTAGATCATGATCAACATGAGCTGGTATTTTGTTGTTCCATTTTATTTTTAGAATATATAGTAATCAAAATCTCTTACTTGTGCAGGTTATAGCATTACCCTTGCCACACAAGCCATTATTTCCTGGATTTTATATGCCTATATATGTGAAGGCTATGATGTTCAGATTCTTGGAAATAGTTGGAGTACCCGTGTCGGACACGACACGACATGGGTATGGGTACGGGATATGTGTCCGATCCTCCAAGTTTCAACCGGACACTTCGTCTTTTTTGCTTCTTCCTTCTTTTTTTCCTTTTCCTTTTCTTCTTTCCCACTTTTGCTCTCTATAAACTTAGCGTCGTCGCTGAGAAAGTAAAGAAAGACAGTAATGCAAGATTTTCCCTTCGTTTTCCTCTTTTTTCCTTCCTTCTCTCTATATAGGTGGTTTAGGATTTTGTTTGTATGAAATGAAAATGGGTTCCATATAGTGCTAGTTAGTGCTCTACTAAGTCCAAATTACGATCAAGTTCCTCATTTTCTATTTTATATAAAATTTAGTAATTCTCATTATTGAAAATCAAACTTTAAAATTCTATTTTATTTGTCTTAATCCCTTATTAAAAACTCATTTCCTTAATTTTGAATAATTAATTTTGGTCTATTCAAAAACAATATCCTGGATTAGTAAAAAACTGAAGTTTTAAAGACGTACACACTTACCTTTGTCGAAAATTTGGACTCTTTTTAGCCATGTCCTCCGTATCCTACATTTTAAAAAATAAAAGATCCACCACTTATACCCGTACCCGAGACCGAGCATCATAGGATATAACACACACACAAACGCTGAGTTAAAATTACACATGGGCATGGAGCTTTTTTGTAAGGAACCATATAATTAATTTTGGTCTATTCAAAAACAATATCCTGGATTAGTAAAAAACTGAAGTTTTAAAGACGTACACACTTACCTTTGTCGAAAATTTGGACTCTTTTTAGCCATGTCCTCCGTATCCTACATTTTAAAAAATAAAAGATCCGACACTTAGATACGTACCGGTACTCAATACTCGTACCCGAGTCCGAGCATCATAGTGTGAAGGTATAGCTGCTTATGGTTGAGTACGTTGGTTAAATATTTTATTTTTCTAACATCCTGGCATTCTATGTTGCTTCCATGTCCCATTACATGGTTATATAACTTTATTGGTTGACCGGCATTAGCTTTACAAGTTAATTCTTGTAGGTATAAGTTCTATCGGATGTACTGATAATTTACTTAAAAATAATTTTAGAGTACTTCAAGAGGCACCTAGTGCGCATTCAGTATGGAATAATGCTATGAATTTTTGTTATTCAACTGTGAACATTCTTAATTGCTCTATGTTGCTTAGACTCTTCATTTTATTCATTTTGGAGAAGCACGTATGCTTGACACACACGACAAGGGTATGGGTTCCTTCTTGGATCCTTTAAATCAAAAGAGGATCATTTATGTCGTTTTTACTAGTTTGATATTGTATTTAAAATGATTTCTAATTTCTATTTCATATTTCTAGACTTGAAATGAAATCCAAGTGAATTATCACAATTTTCAATTTCATTTATTATAGATTTACACTTAAATCTAGCAGGTTGGAAACGTATGTAGCTCTCTAAGGGGGGCCGTCTTACGCTCATTAAGTCCACTCTATCGAATCTCCCTACTTATTTCATGTCATTATTTCCTATTCCTGCTGTTGTGGCCAAAAGATTGGAGAGGCTCCAAAGGGAGTTTCTTTGGGGAGGTTTAGGGGAGGAGAGGAGATTACATTTGGTCAATTGGCGGGTTGTTTGTTCCCCTATTAGATCCGGTGGTCTTGGAATAAGAAGTCACGTACTGTTTAACAAGGCAATGTTGGGTAGGTGGTCATGGCGGTTTGAAGTGGAGAGGGGGAGCTTTTGGAGAAATATTATTGGGGCAAAATACAGCATTATGGAAGGGGGTTGGTGCTCAGGTGAGAGACGGGGTTCTTATGAGGTGAGTTTGTGGCGGTATATATGGCGAGGGTGGAGTGAATTTCGGGATAGATTGACTTTTGTTGTGGGGATTGGTAATACCATCAGTTTTTGGGATGATTGCTGGTGCGGAGATCAATTGCTTAAACTGGGATTTCCCTCGTTGTATCGCATTGAGACGAAGCCGTCTGCCAAGGTGGTTGATGTTTTTTATTTCCATGATGGAAGTCCCGGTTGGAACATTGTTTTTTGCCAGGTTTTGCAGCACTGGGAACTGGATGACTTTGCGTTGTTTTAGACATCCTTATAT